AATTATCTGGCCAATTTTTTCTCTTTTTTAGAATACTTTCCTTTTCCCTTTGAGGAGCAATAACGCCATGCAKGACTCAATATATATTTTATATCTAATAGGATACAGCTTACTGCAAGGTGGACCTCTTCCTTCATTTCTCCATGAAAGTATGGTTACAAAGTTATTCGTAGATATTGAAGTTTCAAAGGAGGAACAACACTTTARAGAGGGATTATCCAAATTTGGCCTACTCAAGGTATATTATTGTTAAAGAGAGCTTTTAAAAGCATGACGTTCACGGCAAACTGCAAACGGCAGAAAAGTATTGCTAATTTTATCATTGAACATAAGCTTATATCTGTGAAACTTTGAAATGATCAAGTTATATCGTGTTGATAGATTATTGTGAAAAGTTTGCGATTTTTTTTTCTTATTAAATCCAAAGTATTTGAAGAAGTCGTCTTCTTTTTGTACATCTCATCGATATGTACATAATAAATAGAACATTACATGGCCGCTTGGAAATATTAATTTTCTCTTCTCGTGTTCAATGGAAATCTCACTCGTTCGCCACGCTCACTCGTGAGATATTGATTGAACACTCGAAGATAAAATTAGTATTTCCGCGCGCCCATGTAATATCCTCTCTATATATCACGTTTAAACAATTCATATTGTCCTGTTTCTCTAGTAGAAAGATACATGCAAGAGGCTGATATTAATCCTTCAAGTACTAATATCTTTTATTTAGGAGGCTAAGGATCTTTAAGTCATCAAATTCTTATAAGTTGTGTTTTTCCAAGTGGTCCTATTCTGGATGTCTCCAGTCGTTTAAAGATTGTTTAACTACTGTAGGTCATGATTCCAAACTTCATGGTTTGCATAGTTTGCGTTCGGGTGGAGTCTCGTCTGCAGTGAGRAATAACCCTAACTTGTCTGAGAGATTACTTAAGTTTCATGGTCGTTGGAGAAGTGACACGGCCAAGGACATGTATATTCTATAAAATACTGCCAATCGACTTGCTATATCAAATAATTTTGGTCTTTGATCAGTCTTATGTTATTCATTGTATTGTAATGATCTAATAAATTGTTGTAATTGGATTGCCTGAGCATCCAACAGGGTCC